CAGCAGGAACAGGATTGCAGCAGATTAAGTGCAAAGATTGCTTAAAAGCCAATGTGTTGGTGCCCAGGAAAAATGGATGGGAAATACCCCAGTGTGTGCCGAACAAAATACCCACAGCAGTCAGAAAATCATGTCAAATAGGACGGAAAAATAAAGCCCCAAACCCTTACAGAAATCTGCTTTCTCTCCCCTTCAAAAGCCGGAGAAGTGTGCTCAGTATTGGCTTAAATTTGAGACACGTATTCCCAAATTTGCTTAGCACTGCACCTTTCTGGAAGCAGCGCTGAAACCCCTCTTCCTTTCTCCTCCTCCCCTGCATTAGCCTGATTGTTTAAGCTCCCAACCAGCAAGAGAAATAAACTGCCCTCAGTAGCTGTGGAGGACCAGAGCAGCCCCGTGCCGTAGCGTGGCAGGAGCCATGTCTGCGCCCCGGTGGGGTGGTGAGACTGAACCCCATGCCTGGGGTAATAAATATGGGTGAGACTGGTGGTCCTCAGAGCCCCCCAGAGGCATCCCATTGCCCCTCACTGCCCAGTGTTTCCCTTTCTCCCCTTCTCATAGCTCTCCTACGTGGATTCGGACGGGAACCCCATCGGAGTGGTGCAGATGACTTTCCTCCGGCTCCTGAGCGCCTCGGCCCACCAGAACATCACTTACAACTGCTACCAGTCCGTAGCCTGGCACGACGCCACCACCAACAGCTACGACAAGGCCATCCGCTTCCTGGGCTCCAACGACGAGGAGATGTCCTACGACAACAACCCCTACATCCGAGCCGTCCTCGACGGCTGCGCGGTACGTGGGCAGAGCTGGTCTTGGCCAGTCCCTGCAAAAGGGGACAGTGCCGGAGGTGGCTGTCCCCCTCCTCTGGTTGTCCAGCACAGTCTGCCTCGGAGCAAATGGCTTCCAAATGTCCTGTGCCCGCTGATGGGGTTGCCTGGAGGAGCGTCCTCGGCATGGGAGACATCGAGCTTGCTCTTGCCTGTGCTGGGAATACGTGATCCCGCTCGCGGTCAGGGGAAGGTGCAACACCTCTAGAAACTGGATTGATGTGCTTTATTGCTGGCTGCGTGTAAAGGAAGGCACCTGCCCAAAACCGACGGTTCTTTCAAATATCCCCCCTGGCCTTTGCCCTTACTCTATTTACTCACACAGGGAGAGACGAGCGATGACACCCAGTTGCGTGGGAGTTTTGCAGGCTTTGATAATAACTTTTCCCAGTGCTTTCAGTGGAGGCAAAGCGTGGACGGATTGGCATTGGGTTGGTTGGAGTGTTTTTGCGGCACGCTGCTGTGTGCAGCCCCGGGAGGGCTCTGGGCTGTGCCGGGCACAGGGGTACACCCGGCTCCAGCCCAGCGTCCCCCGAGCTGCCAGCGGAGCCCCAGCACGGAGCTTCGGTTTGCTCTGGGCTTGCAAAGCCCTTGCTCCCCCCACAGGAGCCGCCTGTGCCCTGGGAAAGGACAAACCAAACCATTTCTGACTCTACAGCAAGCTGAGATGTTGCTGTGGGATGCAGGAGGCAAAGTTTCGCACATGGCCTCCCGTTTCAAATGCAACTTGTAGCATCTTTCTCTCTAGCTCTGTTCCCCGTGACATTGCTGCCCAGAGGCAGGCGTTCCCCCACAGCCCTCCTCTCCCCGCGCCGCTCTCTGCCTTCACTGTGGCCACGGGCAGCAGCCGGAGTTTCCAAAGGGGCCCAGCATCCTTCCTTGGCTTCTGCCGCCTTCTGTCGGATACCCGATTTGGGACTGAGCTCTGAAAAATCTGCCCTCGGGAGCTAAAAATTTGGCGAAGCAGGTGCTGCTTGCATTTATTTTGAGAGCCAGCTTGCTGGTGCAAAAGCACGCATAATTCTCACCCTCTGTAACTGCAGCGCTTGAAGCCCACGGGATGGAAAGATTGAGATGTTTGACAGAAGCAGCCCTCCACATAATTTGAGATGAAAGCGGTTCTGTTCTGGCACACGCACGTTTTTCACTTGTAGGAGCGATGAGGAAAATCAGCTTAGAATCACTTCTTCTTTCAACACTCTTGCAGAGAGGGAAAGGGCATCCGTCCCGCTTCTGGAAATGCTCAGAAGTCGCGTAGGGAAGTTTTTCCTCAAGTACTTCACCTCTCCTGCTAACGCAATGTGTCCTGCGTAAAAAGTACCTTCTCCTCCCTTTCCCTTCTTAAATCTCAGGGATGCTGCAAGATCAGTCATCGCACATTTTAAGGCAGATGTGGCTGCTGAAAACCCTTTTGGCTTAAGCGATTTGGCTCAGGTGCCCTGCGTTCCCCTCCCTAACGAGGGATATTTGCGTGGAAAGAGGACTGTAGCTCCTTCCCATTTATTTGCTTGGTTGCTTCTCGCAGGCAAATAAATGACTGGGGCAAGAACTAAAGCAGTGGGAGCGACGGGCGCCCGTGGTGGGAGAGGCTGAACAAGCACCGGTGTGATGGTGGGGCACAGAGATGTCTTCTCCTGTCTCAGGGCTTTGGGCATCACTTCCAAACCGGCATGCCCCAGTCCTTCCTCTCCGCTAGAGACATTCTTGCAGGTTGTATAAAGGAGGTAAAATATGCCGAGGGAGCTTATTGCAGCCTTGCAGGAGGAGGCTCTGCATCTCCTGTATTCCTGTACCGTCGCCGGTACCGGGGTAGATCATCCTTCCTGAACCACAGGCAGGATATGTGAGATTGAGCTCTACCGTGCGAAAAATGAGGTTGGGCTGCCCGACATAGCGTTGCCGCAGAGGTGCGGGTCGGACCCGCACTCCGGCCGTGATGGAGGGAGGCTGCTGCAACGGCGCCGGAGGATCTCCAGGGCTCATGTTCGGGCTATTATTTGAATGTGTTTTTCCTGATCTTACAGCCCTTTCTCAGTAGCTGTGATATAGCCTATTCTACCGAGACACACAAATCAGAGGGTAAGGTAGAGCCAAAAGCTGCTCCATAAATTCACTTGTTTGTGCAGCTTTGTATGCCCTCGGGTGCGCTTCTGCTCCTCTAATAATTATTTATATTTCGGAAATAACTGTATGGCTACCAGGCACGATAAAGAGACAACATCACCTTGTGAATTCCATCAAACTTTAAATGTGATCTTTTTGGGTAGCGCTCGGATAATAGTCAAACTAATATATTCAAATTAAATTGCTCGCATTTGCTCAACAACCCATGCGTGTCCTCGGGGAGACAAAACAACTATACCACAGCCACAACAATTTCACCAGGCTCCTCTTCCAGCTCTGAGACGTGCTGACAGCAGAGTTAGTGTCTTTTGATCTGCATGGCAGCAGCTTCTTCTGCTCCAAAGTCTGGGCTCGGGACAGTCATCTCCCAGGGGTTTGCTCAGTGGTCACCATCCCACTTGAGAGCACGTCTGCTACATCCGCAGGGCAAACGTAGGGTGTTTGGGTGCTGGACTTTGGGTTTGGGAGCTCATTCAGCTCAGAAAATGCCTGGGCAAGATTGTCACCGTATTCCCAGCTGAGTGGTCAATGCTCATTCATGATAACTTGCTGTTGTTGGGTTGGAGGCATCATCAGAGCTCCTCTCTCTCCCTCTTCTCCCCATCAGGCAAAGAAGGGCTATCAGAAGACTATCCTGGAAATCAACACGCCCAAAGTAGAGCAAGTACCTATAGTCGACATCATGTTCAATGACTTCGGAGAAGCGTCACAGAAATTTGGATTCGAGGTGGGACCAGCTTGCTTCATGGGCTAAGAGCCACCTGAAAACTAGTCTCCAAATGAGCAACCTCGTAACCTCATTGCGCCATTTAATTAATTAAAAAAAAAAAAAAAAAAAGAAAAAAGGAATTCCTTTCCACATGCACGTTCTGAAACTGGACAGCGATGGGTTATTTTTTTCCGTTTTGTTTTGTTCCTCGTTTTTCCCAAGTTCTTCTGTGCCACCGCACCCACACTTACCGATCCGCCGACCGAGAGGACCGTTCCCGTGACAGACACAGAATCGCATGACCGACCGCCGCACGCGTGGCCCGGAGACCTGTCCCCACGCTGCTGCCACCCCTGCTGCTCCACAGCCACCGAGCAGACCCCACCACCATCAAAGACCTCTTCTTCTTCTTCTTCTTCTTGCCAAGAAGCGATACTGAGCGCTTGTCTATGCATTAGTGTTTGTTTGTTTGTCTCTAAGGAAAAACGGAAAAAACTTGAAACTCCTGTGTTGAGCTTGACCTTGAAGTGCCGGCAGTGACCTTGAAGGTTCCAGCCCAAACCCTGCCGAAGCTCGTCGGACGCATTTCGTTGCCTTCCACGAGATTGGGATCGGCTCTCGCAAGCAGACGTCGTGGCCATTTCCAGAATTTTTAATATCTCTGTTGAATCGCGTGATTCTATATTTTACAAAAATTTAACCCCATTAATTTGATAGCTGAAAGTCACACTGGGCATCTCTATTCCCATGTATTAAAGGTGCTTATATTTTTGTATGTTTGTAAGTAAATATTTGTATTGTATATTATTTTAAATGTTTAAATGTTTCTGTCTTCAAAACATGCATGTGACCCTCTCTGTATTAAAGCCACCACCATCCTAGCCTGGGACCGAAGACGGCGGCTCACGTCCCCACCGCCTCTGCCTCTTCCCAACCCCAAGCCTGGATCCGGAGGGGCTTGGAGTTACCCCCAGGCACGAAGCTGCGCAGGATGAGGGCCCAATGAGTGGCAAACCAGTTCCCCCCACCCCCGCCCCACCGAGCCACAGATGCCTTTTGGAACAATTCGCTTCAAAATAAGGAAATTAAGGCCACTTTTAAACAAGATTTCTGCAAAACCCTCATCTGAAAGCAGGATCTGCTTTGAGTCTCTGCCTTTTTATACACTTGCTTACCTTAACACATGTGTTTTAAATTAATTCTTCTTTTTTTTCCTTTGGCATTCTTTTAAAATAATAATAATAATTAAAAAAATCCATTCCCGGTGGCAGATTGCACTGGCAGGGGAAATCCATTTGTCGTCTCTGAATATAAAGTGTTAAAAAAAAAAAAAAAGGAAAAAAAAAAAAAAAGGTGCTTTTTATTTTTACATGTCTCTGTGGTGCTATCTATTTGAGTAACTTTAATACAACACTGGTGATACCCTGCCATTGGCCAATCTCCCACCTGCCTTTGCTTTTTAGCCACTTTCAACACAGACTGCAGGCTTTTGCTACAGTCTTTGATTATAAATGCATGCCACCTTCCTGTTCGTTATGTAGAAGACCCTCTCCTTTCCTTAATTGTATTGCAGTAGCTCATACGGCCCGTGTAGAAAAAGTATTAAATGCTTTTTTCTTTTTGTTTTTCTTTTATTTTTTTTTTCCCCCAAGACTATTCATGCATTTGATATGATGATAACCGTACCAGCTTGTACTCAGTCGCTGAATGTTTGTGGTGCTAATTTATGTACTTGTTGGATGTCCCGACGCGATGCTGAAGCCGTGTGGGTGCCTGCCCCCGCTGAGCGCTCCCGGGAGTCTGCAATTTTCCTGGTCTTCCCACGGTGGCTCTGCCAGGACGGCTTTTTTTTTTTTTTCTTTTTTTTTTTCCAGGCAGCATTTTTGCCTCGCAACCTGCTTGACACCATCTTCTCTTCCCGTTTGTTTTTTCTCCCTGGCCGTTTTCCTTGGGTTAGATCTCTCAGCTGGAAAATAGATGTTGCGGGGTGGGTTTTTTATTAACATTTGGCCTGGAGTATGACAGCAACGCTTGAGCCAAGGGGGGTCTTTCACCATAACGGAAAAGACATCACATTTACTGTGAAGAAAAGCCTATATATGATGTCTTTTCCCTCCTCCTTCCCAAGCAGAGAGCAGCAGCATCCGAGGAAGGGAGGCGAAGCCGTGCTGGAGGGAGCGGCGATGCCGCGCGGTGCTTTTCGGCCCGGGAGAGCCGTATCCATCCGTCTCCCTTCTTCTGTTGTGTTCTCTCGTATTTTTTTTTATTACACTTAGGGGGGGAAAAAAAAAAAAAGGTGCTACCCTAAAAACTGCAGACTCCGGCAGCAAAGCAGTGAAAAGGAATATATAAAAATATATAGGAGAATTCAGCTTCTCGGTCACCTTGGCCAGAGCCTTGTTCAGGAACAGTGGGAAGGTCGGAAAAGGTTGCACGTTCCTCTCTGCAACAGATAAGCCATATATTGATGTATGTACACACGTGTGCGTCTGTCTGGGTCATGTGATTCTGTTATAAATTTTCATCAAGGGAGCTTTTTTCTTTTCTTTTTCCTTTTATTTCTTTGCTTTAAGAAAAAAAAATAATAAATAAACCCTCTGTTGAATTCCACAGTGTTGTAATTGTACTGAGCTCCAAACTGTTCCGATTTCCCCAGACCACTTAGCTACGGTATATTGCAATAAAATTACTACTTGTATTTGCAGACATTCTTTTTGTGTAATTTTATTTCCCTCCTCCCTTAATATATATGACTTGAACAAATGTTGATAAGAAAAATAAAACCTATGGAAAAAAATTTTAGTACATAAGGCCCTTTAAAAAATATAGTGTCAAATGACATATTGTACATTTCTTCAAAGTCCAATAAACATGTCATAAAATTTAAGTGTAATGCCCATAAGAGCTATTTTTAAATATTTTAAACCTGTGTAATAAAGGAATAAATGTAATAGATTTTTTTCAATAAATCAAGTTTACTGTTTCCACCTAAACCAACATGATGTGAATGTCTTCTTGAAGTTGATTGCAGCGGGATTTCCCCACGACCCCTCTGCTCAGTGGAGCCTGAAGAGTTCATCAGAAGAGCAGTGAAAGTGCTCAAAGGTAATATATACTGTAAAATAATAAACCAAACCCACCAGAGAAAGAACTTCCAGGCCTAGAATTATTTTTTTTTTTCTCAGTGAAAAACTCAGATGGACCCAACAGTGTGAAAATCCAACCCGGGGACTTCAGTGGCTGGGACTTGAATGAGAAGATCCGATGGCCACCAGCTCTCCACCGTCTCCGCCCCAGTGGCGACAGCACCCCAGGAGTCTTTCCTTGGCACCACAGCCTTTGCTTTGGCTGATCTTCTCGCCCCAAGGAGAAAAAAAAAACCCCAACATTTCTCCAGCTTCTTGGTGAGCTTCTCAGCCCCAGACTCCTGTCTCGGCCCCAGGGTGCTGCTGCATGGACGTGCTGGGGGAAGGAACGTGGGGGACACTTTGCTCATCCTCTCCTCCGTACCTCCTACGGGTTTCGCTCCAGGGACTTGCGAGAAGATGACGGCTCCTCTGGAAACCACGGCGAGAAATCGCACCCATCTGCCTGCCAACACCAGCCACTGCTGCTGGGTTCGCATCGCTCTGGTTCTCGGGGGCTTCTTGCAAAGACCATTTGGTTGCTGCTGCTGGTTTGCAGGTTCAGGAAGATGCCTGCACCTTGAAAACGTGTCCTTGTTTGCAACACAGCAGGTAGGTGCGGTACAAACACAGACACGTGTGCACAAACCCACCTCTGCGCACAAAGCTTTGTGATGACCACACCAAGTTGTGTGTCCCATCAGCCTCTCCCCTTTGTTCTTTGGCTTTGCAGTTGGTGGTAGATCTCAGATTAACGGAGATGTTCAGATAAGGAGCCAAAGTCCTTTAGCCTAAGGATATAATTAGTGTGTATATATAGAGTATATAATTAGTATGTATTTTAGTATATATAATTATTATAATTATAGGAGTAGTTTGGCAAATCTTGGGGTATTATGGACAAATCTTTATCCAAGTGGACCCCAGAAATGCAGAGGTACCACAGCTGGGGCAAGAAACTAGGGGCGAAAAATAGCTTTAATTACTTAGACCTAGCTAGAAAGATTTGACTTAGATGGTGATGATGCCTCGAGGTGACGCTAACCTCATGGTGCTGACCTGCCAGTTGTGATTTGCGCTGGATCGTTGCTGGTTGCGGCAAACACTTCTCGCAAATGCCTCGGGGTCTCGCTGCCGAGAGGAGCTTTGATCTGCCCTTAGGAAAAAAGCAGGGATCTGAGCGAGGATTTGGCTGCTTCTGGAGCTGCCAGACACAGAAGCCACGGCATATTTTTCACCTCTTTTCGTATAACAGAAAGTCCTTGACTTGGTGCTCGAGCCACGATGCAGTAACTCCGTCTGCTGAGTGAAATACAGAGGGTAATTTTGGGAAGACCCACAAGAGAAAAGAGCAGCAGATTATTGGCGTGAGCGCCCGAAGCAGCTCAGTTTTGCTCTGCGGACGGGGTGAGGATGGGACCCGATGACCCAAACTCAGGCACAGCCCCGGCGCAGGGGCTGCCTCCCCCGCTCTCGATGACGGCGCAGCATCGGCACCGCAACCCCCGGGATGCGGCAAGGAGAGCAAGAGGACCGAGCTCAGCACCCCCACCGGCCCTGGGGGGAGCCGGGCAGCACCCACCCCCCAGTTCAACCTGGGGAGGGAGAGTTGACCGACGCGGCTGAGCCCAGTTGTGTTTCCACCCACCATCAAGAGGAGCGGAGCCAGGCTGGGCAGGGCAAGGGGGAGCTGTAAGGCTGCCAGGGTCTGTTTGCTTGTCGTTCCTTTTCTTCCCTAACAGGCAGGGCCTTAACTAGGCTGGGATTTATGCACTTGAGTGTATTAAGAAACAAGGTGAAACTTGAAGAGTTTTTCCCATGCGGTTACCTGAGCTGACCCAGGCGTGAGGATGTGTACGTTTGCTTCCCGTCTGTTTTGTAAGGTAAAATGTGAATTGCTGTGTGACGATTTCTGCTGGTAAAATGGGAATTATTCCTCCTTGATTTCTTTTTTAGCCCTGTTCTGGAAGAAGGGCCCCAGGTCCTCATGCTATCTGCATGTCTGTTAGCTCCCT